ATAAATGCACACCTACGCATATACACAGAGGGAGCAGTTCGGAGCCCGAACCCGAGCGCCGCTTACGAACACTGCCTTGAAGGCTGAGAAGAAGGTGGTGGTGAAGTAGTGAGTGGTGGACAAGGACGAGGAAACCGTGCAGTAGTGTATCGTCTGCGCCGTAGTCGACGCCGAGGAGCCGCGTCCTCCTCCTCGGCAGGACGCCTCCGACTTTGGCTTGTTGCTGACGACACCGCGTTGCGTGTCCGTCATCGTCGTCGTCGAGGAACGGTCGTCGCCCGCTAACGTAGCGGTTGTGTCACTACTACTGTCCCACTGCCCCACACATCGCGGCCTCATGATTGGTTCATTCTGGAACCTCTGCCGTGCGTGCCCTTCAATGCCGATTGACAAGGTGAGAGAGCCGGAGGAGCGCAATTACGGTGGATAGGACGTCCCGATTGTGTCATTTCTCCCAGATTAGCCTCAATTTAGCGCAATGTCCGCGATTACGTGCCATACGTATGTACGTTTATTTTCGATTGCGGCACTTTACGCAGAGCTATTAAAACTAATCACTCTACCTGATTCGAGATGATTTCTTCCTAGCAAAGTTTTTCTTCAAGATTTTTTTTTAACGAGATTATTGGAAGATGCCGTCGTCTATAATATTGTGTATCTTTGCAACTAAACTTCATATTAAAATTCCATTAATGTAGACCCCTCTTAAAGTTAAGTGACGAGTATTATCTTGTAACCTATCTTCTCTATCGAAGCTTGGTTCACTGAAAACTGCTTATTTTTAATCGTTAATTGTCCCACGATATTTTCATTGAGAAAACATCAATATTAAATTGGCTATGACAATTGTGCGAAAGAGATATCCGATGAAAATCCGAAATCCTATAGTCATTGAGTAATACGGTCAATCAGCACGGCGGATTGATTGATTCCGATAGTCTTGTCTAGCTTGTTTGTTCGCTACACTCATAAATCCATAAGCGGTTCGAGGAAGTGCACATGTACTCGACGCAACGCGCAACTCGGAAAGATTTAACTTCCGTTTACACATTAATTTTTTTTCTCTGTGCAATTTTTCACGTTTTTTTTCTAAGTTGTTAAATTTAATTCTCGCAGTAATTCCGAGTAATAATCAGAGCTCGAAAAACCACAGAAAAAATATGCTTATAATGTGAGTAAAATTTTTAAATTGCAAAATTATTTTCTACACTACAGCAGAAAAATAAATAGTAATAGCGACGAGAAACATGATGATGCAATCAAAAGGTTTCATTATTATTTAACAAAATTTCATTAACGGTACTGAATCTCTAGCCTCATTTGTCGTGCCAATGAAACAGCGAAACGCAATTATTTGACGATGCTTGTAAATCATTGTCCGGAAACGTTTACAGGACAGCGAGGATGGTTAGTAGCGGAGAAAATTGGGGACAGTCCTTTGTAAAGATGGATGATGAAAGGGGCATGAGAGGATGGTAGCTGAGCAAACTTGTAGACGCCTTGTCTGTATCTTGATCATTTTTAAAGAGATGTAAATAAGCGAATCTCGCGCAAAGCAGCCTCACCGACTATTCAATTGCCTCGCGATTTTCACCTTTTTTCAGTTTACTAATTCGATCTGTTACTAATTGAAACAAAATTTAAAAATTTTGATAAATTGCCAAATAAAAGATTTTTCCGTGCAAAATCCCCCCCACCAATCGTGAGTTTTTCTATTTTGCTGCAAACAAACATTGATTACGAGTACAAAACGAGCAGTTTAATAAACAGTCCACAAATGTTTCATATTGTCACGCATGCTTTTCTGCAGTAGGTTTACTCAAATGTGTATATTGTATGGAGCACGTTTAATTGATTAATAATTTATACCTATAAAGCGTAAATACACAGTACATAAATGCGATATGCTACGCAATATGCGTTCTACAGGCTGCAAAATCGGACATTGAAAAAGATGATCACATGAAACAAGTGACTCGTCACTTTAAAGAATTTTAATAAATAAAAATTTAATAAAGTGTAACATTACGATTAAATAACAAACGTTTCATTCATACGGTATTACGCACAATAATGGGCGAAAAATTATGATATTAATAATTTCTCAATTTTTCTTTCTTAATAATTAACATTTAAATTATACTCATTTTTTCTTTTGTATTCCACTAAACAGAGCATCCGCAGAAGCAGAAAAAGTCTTTTTAATCCAATTCTTTTGTTAACTTGGAAATTGAGAGAGATTACCATTTATCTTTTCAATTTTAATTATTATGTAAAAATAAAAGTATATATTTGTAAAAATGTATAACAACGTTGAGCTTGAAATCCAGATTCTATTAATTTTGTTTCATTATCTCCATAAAGTACATACATGCTAACATATTATGTAACTTATTATTTCTTATTGCGATTATGTAGTTGATTTATAATATATAATAGATCAGCAAATCTTATAAACTTTTTGCGCGCTTGCAATACGTGTCGCTTGACGAGCTATCCCGTTTCAAACGAAGCATATTTTATCGATCCAAGGTCAAACGAGTATCGTACTCCCTACAGTTCGAGCACAGCATCCCTCGTCTTATCGAAACGAATCGCTTTATCGATTCTCGTTAGATTACGGCACGAGGTTTGGCACAATTTACATCGTACGCGTTGCATGAATTTCCTCCCCGGCGACGAGCAAACAGTGATTTCGCGATAAACTCGATGAAGTAGTCGCTTCGCCGAAGAAGTACCTTTTCCGACTCTCAATTTGTGTGAAATTTTACATAAATTTCACGAGAACTTTCGCGAAATGCCGCTTCCTCGCAATGAGATTTCATCCCGTGCCATTTGGCGTGTAATTAATGTATTAACACTGGCACAGCGAAGCACAACGCTGATAAAGGCGCAATTGTTGCTACAAAATTTATAGCACGCGCTGAATAGCAGAATTATTTAGAAGATTTGAATCGATAAGATTCAACAGATCCGGATTAATATTCAAGTTAATTCCAGATACCTAAACGCATACTTTATTTCAGCAAACTAGCATATATATCTCATAGCATTATTTTCTATCAATTACAAAAATCAATTATTCCCCGAAACATTATTGTTTATTAAGTTATTTATTGCATCTGAAAAATTTAGTTTATTGATTTACTTGTGATATTCCCGAATTTTTCCCGATTCAATTGTTCCACGCAACAGATAACAGATGCTGCTAATTCGGATTATTCATTACGATTGTTATGTTGATTGTCAACAGTTTATGTCATTATAGAACGGCCGCCGTTTCATCGTAGTATTTTACCACATATATACATCAATATATATATATATATATATTATTATTATTATTATATGTTTGCTTGGAACTTGCATGACAATTTTAGCTATAGTCACAATTTTTTTTTTATTACACAACTTTATGTGGCACGTATCGACCGCTTTCATTCGGAGAAACGATTATTAGACATGTATTTTATGCATACCTGGTAGTCCATTATACTAAAAGAGCTCGTCCAATTTTTGAACCGAAAGTAGCCGCCACAGACACGAGAATATCTTATTTCATATGGCACGCCTTTTTTTGCGCGAGTCAATCCTGATAAATGCAGCGCTCTCTGAAAAATTAAATAAAAGTTACATTGTATCTCAGCAATGAACTCCGCGTTCTGTAGCTAAAATAACTTTTCTATTTCTCAAGCAGTTTTTTTCGTTGAAAAAATTTTCTTTAAATTCCAACTTAATTTCCAAGAGGGATATTTGAAAATGTAAAAAAAAAGGAGTTTTAACAGCAATAATTTAATTTTAAAAAATGCGCCAGATATCGCACGGTAATTCTTGAGGTGGCTATCCTGGCAAACAATACAGAAGCACGAGGATCATGTAAGAAGGTACAAATTATCCGGTTCCGCTGCATCGAAATTCCATCACAAAGGCGAGCTATAATGCTATCCGGCAGCTAGCAAGATAAAATCTTCCTCGGCGAATACAGAAACCGGCTGAAAGTCGAATAGTCGTCCAATAGCGTGTATTGCACGTGTCGTCGACTTGTTCTGTACTCGATCTGCCGTATTTCATCGTTGTCGTAAATCGGTCAATATGGAATATATCGGCTAATGTGACGAACGGAACCCTTTTTGAGAGTTAAATCGACTGTGACAATTTAAGTGTCGCATTCCGCCCAAAGCACATCTTTCTTTCGCGTACATATTTTTCTAATTCTTATAAACAAAATCAGGTATTTATAATAGGATATATTGATTACATTTCCGTCTATTTCTATTTATTACATTATATTTCTATAAATTTAGTCAATTTTATCAGAATTTTATCAGTATCAGAATCATTCTGAATGACTGTTTAATGAATGATTTAACAACTTTGATGGATTTTCTAGTCGGAATTAATCAATGGCGTATGATATTATAAGCTCTCCTATACTATAATGATGAAGGATGTTGGTCTGTTTGCAACCAGCCATGCGTGAGTTTTAATAAATGCAAAATTACTGAATTACTTTAATGGAGTATGGCTATACTTTGAATTAAATTAGCGGCGAAACCATTACATTGTTTTATTACACCTTCGGTTCCGTGAAGGTACAGCAGCGTGTCGAACGTATCAATTCAAAATGTGAAAGCGGTCGCGTACGCGCAAATTAACATACATTTTACTTAAACTTTTCTTTATTTCAATTTCTGATATTTGGACATATCAAATTTTAATTAGCAATTTAAGTAAGCGTAACTAATTTATTTATTTCAGAAATCTTTATTAAGGAAAAATAAATATCTAACTATTGTCATTTTTGTAAATGAGTCGATCTTACTTTCTCATATCAGTTTCTTTTTCAAAACAAATATTACTACGTTTTTTTATTCAAAAGATGTAATTACTACATCTTTTATTATACCGTGAACGATGAACAACAAGGACGTCAAGCCGAAAGGAGGTGAACATTCTCGCGTCGTTTGCCTCTGTTTTACTACTCGTTTGTGACAATAAAACTAACACCACAAAGGACGAAGGTCAGCTGACCTTCACGCTTCTCAGAACATCGAGAAAGGAGAGAGAGGTTTCACTTATTCGCACCGCGGCTTAGCTCGAGTCACGGCTCGTAAATTTCTAGCTCAGATATTGGCACGTAATCGTATTCAAAATATTCTCGTTCATCCTTACACGAGAACAAGGTTTTTATCGCGAATCGATAAAGAAGTGATACGGTTTGATAGCGCATTATTTATCATGCGACAATGACCGACGACAAATTTGATGGATTGTAGATAATTTTGCGTCGCCATATTTTCTCACTTGAAAAAAATAAATAAAATATTATTAAAATATAAAACGATAAACCGCGTATTTTTTGATCCGCTAGTGTCTCTATTTCCATTCTTTTCC